ATTTAACGTAGATACGATACAAATATTCAATATGTCTTGCTTTGCATATTGATTCAGATCCAGGTACAAAACACAGCTTAAGATGCGTTCTTATCCCATTGTAAGGTACACAAAATAGATATCATAAGGGTTTTTTTGCCCTTTTTACTATTCCAAGTATAGGAACATGTAGTGCATTCTTACTCAGCTTTTTAAGATCGAACGTTGCCATCAAGAAGAAAATCCTTTTCGCATAGAACACAGCGTCAAGCTTCATTTACTGGAAGCATTACGTAGACAAAAATTAAAATGCAGAAACATAAACAGCATTTCGAAACAACCTTTCCGTCGGTATCGAGAAAAGTGCTTCATATATACAGATTTCCATATATATTTTAGACTGTTATTTTAACCGAAAGAAAAATTCCAAAGGATCTATCAAAATTTACTCATTATCTACAATTCTCTCATAGACATTTTTCTTTTTTTTTCGAATTTCGAGCAAAAACCCCCAAAAAGGCCATCTAGGAAATACACCCCGTTGTTAACCGTAAAAAATTGGTCATTTACGTTAACGACTAAAAGAAGGATATGCTCATGAAACTCAACCATGTTAATGATTGTTCACTACGGATGCTATAAAGCAGGAACTGGCGGTTTCATATGAATTTCTTAAAAACATCGATGCAAATGATTTTTCTAAATATTTGTTGCGTACATAATAACAAACGTAGGTGTCGTCAGAGCGAACGTATCAATAAAACTGCTAACTTAACTGATAAAAAGATCTTCAAATTTAAAATAATCGCTCGTGCGCTCTGACAGAAGTTCTGCAACAGGGGGAGCGGCACTATGTAAGTAAGTGCCGCTCTCCCTGTTGGTCGCCAGCCGTTTTCAAGATAGTGATCAATAGTCAACGCTAATGCATGGATTGATGGTTAGGGCGAAAAAGAAATATATTAACTTACCAGCAACACTTGACGAAAGTCAGCCTGGCTATCGAAGTAGGGTTTGGAGTAAATAAAATTGCCTCGTTCCGTCCTGACTTGTCAATATTGTATGATGACCTTTACGTTTCGCACGTAACAACTTTGTTGTCAGTTACTCACAGCTAGCACTTGTTGTCATTTGGCCAAGACTGGCGCTGCTTCTACATGTTATCGTTTGCAATGAAACTCAAGGGTGGTTTTGACTGGATCTCTGCATTGCTGTTTCGCATAAAATTTAACGCTCATTGGTAACAAGTCTGCAAAATTAAACATTTATTATTCTGTATATTATTGAATTCTGCTATCTTAAAAAACCTTGGAGCGTGGGGTTCTGATGCTAGGCCACTCAAAGTTAGCAGAATTGAAGTGACCTCCAATATGCTTTCTACTAAATCTTACTGCCCAATCTAAATAACTGGTTTGTATTAATGTCTGTGTTACCTGTGCTAGTATTTGTCCGGTTTTGGTATGAGCACACCCTTATTTAGACCAATCGCTTCTTAAAGCTGATGAGGCATTTGATTGAAAAGGCGGTATGGCCATGCAGGTACCGTACAAGGGTGACTTCTGGATCCCTATCAATCAAGTCGTCAGCTGCACGTGCAGAAGCGTTCAAGCTCACTTGAAAAAATCTTAAGAAATTTTCTGATTTCCGTGATTCTTTTAACGTCCGTTGAAACAGCTTGGCCATAGCAAGGCAGCCATGCCCTGACGCTGCGTGAGTTGTAAGACTTTCTAAATGCGATAGTAATGCTTTGGAATGATCAACTAAGGTACCTGTAAAGCGATCGATGATGCAGTCATCGACTTATTATGGATGTGAGCTTTCAAGTCTATGTAACGATTTTAGAGCCGAGAAAAAGTCGTCATTTTGCCATATAAATATACATTTTTTTTTAGCAGGCAGCCCCCCAATGGCACCGTGATGGCCATCCTGCGCAACGGCTCTAACGAGCTCCATTGAAAGAGGGATACTAACCAAGAGCGACCCAAAAAAATAAAAAACTATACCTTAAAATAGACTAAACTATCCTTAGAAGCTTAATTCGAACCAACGATGTCCATATAGATTAACGAAACATTTTGAAGAAAAAAGAAACGTCGAAAACGATGCTACAGGGTTGACCAAAAGCGGGGAAAGTACAAAAACAGAAATATGCAGCATTAAGATTTATAGCTTCCTACAATACGCCTCGTTAGTTCCCATAAATAGCAAACACTGAAGCCGACTGAACCTGACATCAATGGCTATGACGGAAAATATATTGCTCATGATCATACGGGCGTCTTGCTTTAGAAGTGGCACTTATCTTGCGTTTCATGACAGTGCTTTAAATCGGAAAAGCAACACGTGGCTAGTGTTAAACGACACAGTCAACTTCTCGAACTTCCTCGACTTAGGGGTTCGTTGTATCTTCAACATACCTACGAATATAAGATGATTTTGTGTTACCAGGAACTAATTAACGTAAAAACAAATATATTGTTTAACGACAAAACTGTACGCCTAGCAAATAAGTTTCGGTTTCTCGAAAATGTAAGTGGTAATGGAAACCATCGATGACGGGTGAAAGCCCGGCAAGGAGGCTTTCAGCTAAACGACGGTTGCTAGCAGCAGTAATAGTTACCAGTACATTTACTTTCAAAACGAAAATTGAAAGAGTGGGGACGATCCTCAAAAGAAAGAATGAGTTGATGACATCCTGCGAAACATGTATAACAACAATAGTAGAAAAACAAACACAGTTAAAATATAATAAGAGAAAAAGGAAATAGGCTTCTTACGAATTGGTTCCAGGACAGATGGAAGCGCGTGTGGTGTTCTTTAAAGACAATATGCCAATAATATCAAAGATAATATATTTAACATAGTGTCGTCATAAACGAGACATGGGTTAACGTGTGCCATCCACTAAAGAAGGATCAAGGAAGAGAGTGATGCCCAACAAAAAAGCGTGACCTCAGTGGCAGTGCCAACTGAAATCGAGGACGGGCTGATATTTACTCTCGCAATGAATATCGTCTTCATGAAACATTGCCCACAAAGAAACATGTCAATGCTGTCGTATATCTTGAGCCACTCTTATGTACGTGTAACGTGGCAACCGACAGCAGAGTCACAGTTACACTAGTTGGTTAATTAATTTAGGATAATATACAGTTTTACGCTTTAGTTATTAATTAGAAATAGAATCGAACGGTGGCTTCAATCTCTATATTATTTAGATTTGATAAGTGTAGTTTGTATTCCTTCCATGATCTAAGAAGCGTGTTAAATGCCGTAGCATAGCCTACCATCGACAACTACAACAAAGCAAATCAGAAATGGGAAGTTTCAATATGCTGACTCGAATACACAAGCAATAAAGGGGAGCGCATACAGCATTTCCCACTTACTTTAAATAGTATTTAAGGTTTTGATAATGAGAAAAATGAGTCGCACACGATACAAGTTCAGCCCAATTATAGTTTATATTCCGTTGCAATGGCAGCCCAGCCTATGGTTGACAATTAGCACGGTAAGTTACTTCGAACTTTGTCAGCGACTCACGAACACTTCACAGTTAGTACGATTGAAAAAAATGCATATTTTTTTTACTTTTCAACTATCGCGCTATATTTTTGCTGCGCCTTTTATTGTAGCTTACACGCACAAACGACGTACCACAATATGCGTACATGCTAAAAAATAACTCAAAAGTTTTGACCAAAAGAAGGACAAATCATTTAATCTAGTGCATACGGTACTATATTGTTCTTTATCTGGACGCGGAATTCATGCATGTGAGATGCTATCAGCTACCTACGAAGGCCACGGAAAAACAATCAACGGGGAGCTATTAGCTATTCATGTATCGAGTCTATAAATAATACGCCTTTGTGGTAACTGGTCTTTCTTGGTACATACGTATATATTATTCAGTTAGTGCACTCTATTTTACCTCAATAGAGAACCCTTAACGCATTACAAGGATAAACATCAGATACAAAAAAGCAAACTGTTCCAGAGAATGGTGATATTGATCCCAAAGGCCATAATAGTAAAAGAGGCACGAAAGCTGAACACCCCCACAGAAGTGTTAACACAATGATACGCCCAATGCTAAAGCAACAATGACCTTATTTTGTATTGGCGAAACTGAAGTGCACAAGGGGGAAAGTAAAAGGGGCGATAGTCTTCATGAAGATGAATACGTCGTCACTGCTATATCAGTCTCTATACAGTAGGCGAATACAGTAGATAAGGCAAGAGAATCCAATCAAACGAATACACGGCGTGTAGATTTTAGGCTTTCAATGGATATTATGTTGCACTGAATGTCGCCGATGGCCTTGGCAATGTTTTCATGCGTTGCACTATTGTCGTAGTCGCTAGGGAGCGCTGTGAGCGCAGTCGCATCTTTTCTGCGATTGAAATTAAGCGATAGATTAATTGATAAAGACAAAACAGAGAGAGATTTATTGGGAAAGTGATCGAAAAAAAACTTATAAATAGGAGAAGATTGAAAAAATTGCGAATTTTTTTATCACTTCTGCCCTTCTCAAAGGCCGCATGCACAGATTTTCCCTTTAAAAATTCGAATTCTCTTTTTTCCGTTTTTTTTTGTGACGTCATTTAGCTTCTATGTAGCATGGTAACTTAAGTAACTTAGGGATGGTCTACAACAATCGTCAAAATAAGAATCGAGTTTTTATGGTATCGTGCGTTCGTATTGTTATGTTCATATTATGCACTTTTATTTAGAAATATAAAATGAGATATCTAATTTTATTCATTTTAATAAATCGATGATAACCGAAATGCTCGATTTCATTTAGGGGCAGCGATGTTATCGTTTTGTCGCGAGCATAGCATCCTATCCATGCTGCATTTTCCAAAGAGAAGTAGGTAGAAATGTAAAAAAAGCTTTTTAAAACCGGCGTTTTTCCAATTTTTCTAATTTCCAAAAGAATTGGAAACAACTCTGGCTACTTGTTTCCTCATACTGCAATGATTCTTAGACTATGACGCGTAAGCTTTTTTTTATAGTTCTTGAGTAGAGGCTCAGAACAGTCCTCGTCCTTTAGATCAAGTCTTTCTCATATACATGACGTATATCTAGGTTAGTTTCAACAGCTTTTTAATGCCGGTCAAGGGCAAATGGGAAGTGTCGGAAAATACTATTTTTCTTTTCATTAGATACGTAATTGAGGGGGGCCTAAAAAGGGCCCATTTCTTATGCACCGACCCAATGGGCTAAGGTCTGACTAGGATTGGCGCATTATTTCAGCCAAGATGTTAAGCGGCGCAACTTAGTTATGGAAATTCCCATTAATGATGAAAACTTCCGTAATTAACTGAATTTGGTCGGAACGGCTTGAATTTGTAATTCGATCAATGTGTGGACTAATAAAAGCAGTTCCACCGATTGAAGGAGGGCTCCGTTGTATTGCATTATTTACTACATGTACTCGCTAATAAATAATTTCATTTGCTTGTTTTAAATGATAATCCTTCAAGAACTTCCATTATTCCCTGATTCCAACTGGCCACAAAGCAGTTTCTCCAATCAGACCAGCATGACCTGATATATTTGAATATCTTGAGACATGCAGCAGTGTTTCGCTTCGCGACAAAGATTATTCTTGTTTGTATTTATTAGAACTGAACTCGAAATAAAAAAGGGCAATATATTTGCATATTGGTTTCCTTTGGACGATTGCCTATCCACCCTGTCAGTCCCCGCACCCTGATGCTCTGCAGCCTGACACAGTGCGGTCATGTTTAATGGCAATACCATTGCTTCTTTGTGTTGGTCGTAGCCAGTTACGTGTGATGATAGAAAATTATCTCGCCAACTTGGCTTATAATTTGTACATCGATCTGAGTTGCACTGTATACTCAGGTGACTTTTATCCACTGCTCGAAGAAAAAGCAGCTTTCGTTCCGTTATTTCACGGCCGATGTCGTGTAAAAAGATGTTCCCACCGCAAGAAGAAGCGGACGCCACTATAGCAAAGAGAAAACGTTGTAGATGCAACTAAAATAGACGTAGGTAAACGATTTGAGCTTGACTCTCGCTTATATTTCTATTTAAATTAGCCGTTACCTCCTGCTTTTGATTTCTTAGCTAGGCCCTTCCTGATTTGCTAGCCCTTTGCCTTAGAAACTCGTCTATCTACATCTGTATATTTATAGTACTACAACATTTAACATCGTATGAAA